AGATGTCTTCTCTGATTTTTATCTAGTCCTCTTGACACAGAGATATTCTAATTTTCAACTGGTCCTCTTGGCAGAGGATTTGCACGTTCACCAGTTTCAACATTCCTGCTTATCTTCCCTGTACAGGAATAATATCAACAGATGTCCAACTTCAGGAGTTGTACTCACCAAAATGTTTCTTATCTCTATCCCACAGACACAGAAAGGAGATGGCCTGTTGGTCCTCTCTTTAGAAATTGTTTTCATTATGTTATTCCCAGATCTGCTGGGGATGGCAATGTATGCCCAGTTATTTGCAAATATCTATTGCTATCTTAACTGACGTCTTGTCAGAGCCTATTTCTCCTTTTAACACTTAACTCCAAATTTACTTGTGTGACAGCTTCAGAGAAGCCCTAATGACCTCATAAACAGGCTGTCATAGGATGTAAGAAATTGGAGGCATTAGAAGAGGGACTGTACTCCATCTCCAGTTGTGTTTAAGAACATGAACTACTAGCAGTCTTCTACCCTGTTATATTCCCTTGAAGTTCAGGTAACAAGATATCCTTAGATAGTCCCTTTGCTGACAGGTTTTCTCATAAAATGCTTGGGCTAGATTGAAAGAGCTTGATTCACTTGCAGAGATATAGCTATTTAGTGGCATTTGGGATGTCATAAGGGTATCCCAGAAACCTCTGGAAGTAGCAGAATATGACACAGGACCTATGGGAGACCCATGCCCTTCTGATTGGCAGATGGAGCCATGCAGGGTATCTGTGGGCACTTTTATGTCTGTATTCAGCTAACAGAATTTATTGTGAAGTCACACTTTCCAGGGACAACACTGTTCAAGACTGGCAAGCTTTCAAAACCTGAAGTACTGAAAGGAACAATTTACTCTTTGGTCACCACCCCTGTGATGACTAAGCTAGTGTCTGAGCCACATGTTTTCATCATATTGTGATAAGTAATAGAAGAATTTTGCTTTCACTAAAAGTAATTAAACAATTACTTCCTAGGCTAAAGCTATTATTAGTACAATGATCCAAATTTTAAGAAAAGTGAAAGACTTTACTACTGGGAAAAGGGGGGAATTGATCTGAGGAAACACCAACCCAACAGCCCCCCCTCTTGGGATGCTCACCAGATGATCCATATCAAAGGGTGGTAACTCCTTTGCAATGGAATGAGAAAGAACAGAATGGGCCATCTCTGGTATCCCTTGTCCTTGAGATAAGAGAGGAACTGAAACCACTGAGCCATAAAGACAAAGGAGCTGCAAATTGGCCCAGACTTGAAGGAGAAGGTGTACGTGACCACAGGACTGAAGAAAGAAGATTGTAGAAGAAACCAGGAGGCGTGCCGAAGGTGTTGAAACCGGCAGATGGGTGGATAAAAGGGGGTTTGAAACTTAAACAATTTGGTGAGCCTGGACGCAGCTGCGACTCCTCGGCCACCCCAGCGCTGCATTTGCTCTCTTACCTTAATAAAGATTCATTAATCCATATTTGGATGTGATTGGCCTTAATCTACCTATAACAATATGGAAGAAAATTGCCAGCTCTAACCGCACTTCCCTCTCCATCACCTTTTGTGTTTTGATAATCTTCTGGCCAAAGATGGACACCAAGTGTGTCCTATCTTCCTGTTCCTTCTGGTTCCCCCAAGTATAGGGCCCTTCTTGTTACAACTGGCAAGAAGTGGTTTCTCTCACAGCCTGAAGGACCATAAGCCCAATAATTCCTTAGGGCAGAGGAAGGGTTTTATGGTGTCATTTTGATGATAAAAAAAAGGAGTAAAGAGATCAGTTAGAACAAGCCACCAGGTGGCTGTTTTAGCAGTAATCCCACCCTGGCTGCAAAGGGGAGACTGGCTTGCCTTTCTTATTTATTTTCATGGTGTGATCACACTTCTCATTGAAAGTACCTCCCATTTGCAGCTGATGAAGGCCAATATCACTACAAAGCACTCTCCCCTGGATTACCGAAGCTCCAGGATATTTGCTTGACTGTAGAAAATGTCTGAGGAGGATTCTCACTCCATAACCAGAAGAGCTGTTAATTAAGGAGGCTTTCCTGATCAAGTTCTGAATATCCTTTAACATGGAGGCTCATATTAATGTCTGTGTCAGGCAAAATCCAAGCTTCTTTCCAATGGTGGCTCAACCTGATGAATATTCATAGGGAGCATGATTCTAAGGAAAACCTGCTTCAGTGACAGACACCTCCAGCATGGGTTTATGTGCTTACTTATCAACATTTTACAGCCCTGAACAGTGCACTTGCTCAAAACCGTTCCTGTGATGCCAGACACTCTAAAATGAGTATACTCCTCAATCTTGCTTGAATATAGTGCTCTGTAACGAGGAACACATCAGCAGATGTTTTAAAGAAACTGGAAGAGAAAGGTAGATGCTGCATCTGGAAGCAATGCCCTGCATGGAAGGCCAAACAACACTTGTGCGGCGTTTTGGGGAGGAATGCCTGCTGGCAGGTAACAGGGCTTGGACAGACCAAGGGGCAGACATCATCTGAGCACATCCCAAAGCATCACAGGAAGCTTGTCCTGGCAAGCAACTGTTTTTTCACATACAAAATAGAAAGAGTGGTTAAGGATTTTATTAGTAGTAATAGCTTCATTCCTCTTTTTATATAAAACCAAATGCCAGGTATACAAGTGACCATTCCCTATTGGTCAGTAATCTTTTTATCAGTTTCATTCCATTAACAATCCAAGATTATACCAACACAAAGCACATTTGACAGAGTTATATCTTACAACTGTTCAGAAACTAAAGCTCAATATAGAAGTCAGCTGTGTGGCTGGTAAGTAGGTCATCTGATGGGAACAGATGTGCTCTTTCATCTGCACTGCTTGCCAGTTGGCTTTGAATTATAATGCCCTAAACGTCCTACTCTGCCTATCTAAGGGAGATTGTGGTGACACAAAGGGACTAGGAATCCTTCACTTATTGTTCTCAGAATGTCTCCCTAACCTGCAATTCATTTTCCACCCTTTTACCTTAAATAATCCTGATGTGTTGGCTCCTAGTCCACACAGGGCTGATCTGTTCTTCCAGACGTGGAAAAGGGATGAAGGCAAGGGGATCTAACTAAAAATAATTTGGATATCTTTTGGGTTTGCCTGTAGTATTGGCTTCTACACCAAATATTTATTTTTTTTAGGCTAAGACTCTTTGTTTAGCAGTTTAAATTTATCACAAAGTAGTTAGTGCCAAGGATTGGCAGAAAGGTGCCTTTGTGTGTGTTCTTAAATATACAGAATGAAAAATCCCACATTGCACTCATTTAGAAGAATATTAAACAAACATCTTGTTCAGCTGTGCACATTTGTAGCGACATAATTTAGGATCTCTGAGCCAGACTTACTTTCTTTCAATGTAGAAACACATTTAGATCTAGGAAAGTTATGATTCCCTCAATTTTGTGGGACTCATTCTTAAGCATTAATAGGCTCCACAGGTGTTAATTCTTGCATTTATATTTATATACATGTTCAGGATACAGGGAAAATGAGAGAAAGAAAGGAAATTTGCTTAGGGTTACTTAGCGTCTTCTCGACTCCTCCCAGTTTAACCCTTATTTGCTTAAAACATTAAGGCTAGCAGAAAATGCCTAGGACTTTAGAAGAGATGGAACATACTTCCTTATTCTTTAATTTCTGAAGCAAACAAGCAGTGACCAAGTGATTGCCTTACGCAATGCAGTTAAAAAGAACAGCGATTGCTGATTTACAGACACATTGCAGTACAATTACATCTTCTCTATAGAAAAATGAATCGAGCATGCAGTCCCTACAGGATGACTGCAAAGCTCTTCTCTAGCTAGCTGCTGTGAGAAAAAAGACCCACATTTGCACTGTCAGGCACTGGTGGATAAAGGATGGGTAATTTTTAATGCATGCACAAAACCAGGAGCCTGACATTTCTCCTCTAGCACATGCAAGACTGTTTATTGTTTTGCAACCAAACGAAAGGTTTCTTACTTCACACATTCTGCAAACTTTTCAACTAAAGGAAGCAAAGAGGGAAGTGTTTATTCCTGCATACATTAACCAAGAGGGAATAAATAGAAATTACTGAAGCTTCTAAAACAAAACCAAAACCAAACCCAACCCCCAAACAAAATCAAAACCATGTATCTGCTTTTTGGGTAGAAAACTACAGCTACCTTCAAACACAAGGGTGATTGTTGATGCAGAAATGCATCCAGTAAGTTACTCTTGGTGCCCTAAAGATACGTGTCTGGTAAACAGCAGGATGGACACATGTAAACTAAGGTCAAGTATCTGCTTACATATCTTCTTCGTCACATTTTTACAACTGTTTAAATTTTACCTCATTTTAATTGCAGCACTGAAGGAAGTATGAGGAGCATTAGCAAAGCATAACTGGAACATTAATGTATTTATGGAAGCGTATAAATTAATTAGTATGCTTCAAACACTTGCTGGACAGTGACAGTTTTCTGAATTCTCTAACTAGAGGAAAATACAGCAACTGCATGCATACATTCATAAATATCCCTATGTATATCACACATCAACACAAACAGCTTTTGGATAACAAAGTGCAATGTGACAGTAGGATATGGCCATTTGTTACCAGCTCAAATATCACTTTGCATTCTTATTTGTATGGAGGTTTCAGCTCTTAGACATAAGCCTTCATTGCTTTTCACTCTAACTGGAGGTGTATAAGCTAAAGTAGAATGGGAATATTTCATTTAAAAAACAAGACAGAATGTTCTGTCCAATTGGTGACAATTCTAAATGACAATAAATGTGCAAGGCATCCAGAATTGGGCTTAGCTCCGCTGTTGGTACTAAGTTCTCCAGAAACTGAAAAAAAGTCAAGGGTCTGGTTATAGGACAAACTCTATACAAAATGAGTTTAAATATGATGAGATCACTTTCTTCTCCCCTTTACTGGCTGGTGGTCTTACCATCAGTAGAGGAGCTGAAAAACGCAGAACTCAGTTACGCACCAAAAATCTTACCTCTCCCTGAACCTGGACATCATCAGGTTTGTTTTCAGCAAATGAAGATTTCCTGGTCTGTCCTCGCCTGTGGCCAAACTTGCATTTGTTCCTCAGGACTTGCTCATCATCTTCAATGGGTCTCCGCACATATTTGAAACGATCTTTAAGGGCCCGTTTCCACAGTAACTGCATGGAGGGGAAAAAAAAAATCTGTCATTACTGGTATCTTTCAAGAATTTGCCCCATTCCTAAAGCAGGTCACTTTGTTTTATCTAACTTTACTTTATATAAAAAGTGTTTGCCACTATGCAGAAAAAGACCCATAGGACGATATCAGCATACTGGTGGCTTCAGGGCTGAAGGAAACACAAGCAACTGTGGTACATGACTACGGCAACTGAACAGCAGGGCTACTGGCACTGATGTGTTTTGTTAAGAATGACAGTGATTGAACCTAAGGGTTAAATTTATCCATTATAACCAGGCCTGTCAGTGAAACCATAGTTTGATTTCCTTTTCTTAGCTCTTACTTCAGGATGCTCCAGTCACGACACTACACAGTCAATCAGATCAGCTCACTGATGCCACAGAAAAGTAATGAGAGCTTTTTGAGTGAATTGTTTTTCCTCTACCTCTGGCAGCATCTGACTGGTTGTACAGTTGTATGATTATTAGATCTAACACAAGGGAGCAGGAAAGACACAGAGGGATGCTCCCTTTTGCAGGGAGCCTACAGTCATGTTGGATCAAGCATATTATTAAACTGAACTCAAAATTGCTGAATTAAGAGGGTCATTTAAATAGGCCCTAGTGTTTGTAAGGTTCCACAAGACATGTAAATAGCAACTTAGAGACAGTTCTGCACTGCAAGAGGGTGCAGACCCTGTTTAATGGAGCCATTCATCACTCCTTGGCAACCAAAGACTGAGATTATGTGGTCCTACTGCTTCTATCACACTTGTGTCCTTTTTTCACTTGGGTACTGAAAAGTTACTTCTGTAAATTGGATGGACAGCAACTTCCTCATGCATCCTTACAGACAGACGGCTGCTTACCTGCAGTCCCTGGCTGGGTGTTCCATGGCAGGACCCAGCCATGCTAACTATGACACGCAGGGAAGCAATTACTAAGCAAAGGCTGTTAACACCTCTGCAGGCAAAACCTGCAGCTGTGAATATTGAAAACGTTTTGTCAGATCCTTAAAAGCAGATGCTTATTCCAGTTTATTGAGGGGTTTTCAACAGTAAGAGGGAACAAAAGTTAGTCAGAAAAGTGACTGTAAATGACAAGACGTGCAAGGGAGATTAAAATAGCTGTTACTTCATTTTCTAAAATTGACTCCAATACTATACTCAAGCCTGTACTCACTGATATATTAAAACACAATACAAACAGAAGAATGATTACCCCAAATTTCTTACCAAAATGGTGTCCTTTATTAGTCAAGGTCAAGATCTGTATTAATGGTGAAAAATGACAGTGGAAGAGTTATGAGAATACAACCCCTGTGACATCTACCTCTGCCCTTCTTGAGCAGACCTGGGCCAGCCAGGGCAGGTGTGCTCTTCCTCGGGAGACACTTCCTGCCACCCACCTACGGCCCCCTTACAGAAGTATCCTCTCACCACCAGTCACGTTTGAACATCTAAGAACTGGAAAGATAACAAGCCCATCTGCATTTCTGGTATGTAAACTTCAGACCAAGGATTCTGTCACAACAGGAGTCACATCATCACCAACCTAAACATAATGATTAGAAATTACTGCTCACCCAGTCTTCTCACAAGATGTATTTACAGCCTCCGTTTGAGCTTTACACCCCAGCACTGTTTTCAAAAGCAGTAAGGTGACTCCATGCCTTGAAAATCCCACTTGCTATCTGCCTGAACCAGGAAGGCTCCTAAATGCATTTACAGTTCTGGCCCTATGCATTTACATTTTGATGGAAATACCCCAAAGTTATATGCCTAGCAAAATTTATTTGGAACATTGTTATTTTAAGGCTGTTAAGAAACAAGCAAACAAAAACCTTCGCTTAATACTTCTCTGAAGTGTTCAACAGATGTTAAAATATTTTAAAACATGATCATCCCAGAATATATTAGCAGCTGACAATTTAAATATCCTCTTAGTCGATTTTTGTGCAGTTTTTTTCTTTTGAAAATGTTTGTCTGGCTAGGAGACATTTTGCTTATTCTTCCACATGAAGGAATATGCTGACACCTATACAGAGCTTTAAATATCCCCCAAAGTTCAAAACATTCAGCTCTTTCATCCTCCTGTCCTCAGACAATTTAAGAGTTTTACCTAAATCTATTTCTATAATAGGATACTCATAAGCTTAGTCAAGTCCCTTCTCACATACCTATTTCATGAATGAGACTGCAAGCACATACATTTATGTGGTTTTTAGCAGGTAATGCATCTTCCAAAAGGGATGCTTTCGTTACCATTTTTGAGCTGATAATTTTATTTTATATTAATTCCTCCTCACAAACAACAACACAAAAAAAAACAAAACAAAACAAAACAAAACAAAAAAACAACAACAAAAAAAGACAACAAAAAACCCACAAACCACCCCAGGAAGGTTTACAATGCTTGTAAGGGAGCAGGAGGATTAGTCTGTGCCTATCTGACATAGGAGGGAAAGGATTACATACAGATTAAAAGCAGTAATTTTCTAGCAAATAATCATTTTGTGCGCAGCAGTTACATAACTCAGGCATGTCTGCACTGGGATCCTGGGTGGCACCGACACCACGGCACCGCTTAGCACCCCTGAGCCCGAGGGAGCCCACTGGCAAGCGATGCCGATGAGAATCCTCTCTTTTCTTTCCTCATGTAATGTTTTCTTGAAACCATACAATTTTCAACATGTTGGCTGAAATGAAATAAGGGCACTGGCTCTTTCCAAATGGTTGGTTGTAACTCTTCGTAAAAGGAATAAATACAAATAGGATAGTATCTTGCAAGTTGTCAAGAAACAATGTAATGCCATTTGTAATGCCTTTTGACTGCTGTGTCTATGACCTTGGCTTTTTCTATATAACCTATTTGTCTGTAACTGCTTACAAGTTTTGCATTGGTTACATTATACACCAGAAATCTAATAATCTATTTAATGATTAAATGGAGATTATCTATTTATTTATTTATTTTAATGTTATATCTGTTAGTTTGGGATAACATTGTTTTCAAGTAGAAGGAAATATCATGGAAAAATTCCTTAGATAATTGCTTTAAAGAACTTTTTTCAAAAAGCTAATCTTGGAACAGGGTGGGGAAATTAATTTCATTTCAAGTGCTCCAGAGAACTCTTAAATGAGCTTTGCCTTTAGTATAAAATGATATTTTTTTATGATTTAGAATTTCAGAAAAAAAAAAAAATTAATTCCTGCTAGTAAATACCTGTCTTTTAAAATTCATAGTACATAGGTAGCTTGTTTGTAATCTTATTTGTAAATGTATTCATTTAAGATCATTATCATCATCCTGACTATATATCAGTGTATATCCTTTGCAAAAGGGCTAATGGCACAGAAGCATATTTTTCCCTACTGCAAAATTAAATGGAAAACCTTTTAACCAAGAAAATAGAATTATGGATAATTTACTCATAAATCTTGAAACAATAAACCTTTAATAACCTCACATTGCAACAGTATGATATTGAAACTATTAGACTAAGTTTCTACATAATGCACACATTGTTCAAATTACTTGTCTAAAATAGTATGGAGTTAGAAATAAAGTGTCCAGTATTTTTAGAAAAAAGAAAAATAAAAAAAAATAGAATGTTCAAAGTTTTGCAAGTAAAATTTTTTCTGTCCTGAAAATATTGGTGTGAATTTAAGTGCTCTTAGGTTTGTTTTTTTGTTGTTGTTCTTCTATGTTTTCCAGAAGACCTTTCCCCTTTCCAATTCTCCAAGCCATTTCATTTCCATGAAAAAGTTGCAACAAAACTGCTGACATTTCCAATTCAAAGTTTCTCCAAGTTTTTCATTACATCAAATTCTTTACGGTCTGATTTTCTGTTCTTGGTCAGAAGAAGCAGCTAATTCTAGAATGTCAAGATCTCCCATGAGATGAGCTTTGCCATTTTGCTCATTTCAGCCAGAATGCCCCACAGGTTGCCCCTGCCCACCCATGCCACGCACAGGCGTGCATACCAGAACTGTTTCCATTGCATCCTTCCAGCAGCAAAGACACACCCATTTCTGGTGATGGGCTCCAAACCGTAAGACTCATGAGTTAAAAATAAAACCACATCACTGACAGACCTTCTCGGGGCATCTCATTAAGAACTACTCCAACTTCTGCAGACCACAGCCGATGCTGTGGCTGCTCCTCCACCCCAAAGGGTAAGCAATTGCTTTCCTTTTAAGCATTAATTTAGAGTTTAACTGAATCTAGGAACTGAGACATAACACAGCAATAAATAAAGAGCAATAAAGCAATGTCATTAACAATACAGTGGGATATAGCATTTTGTGTGGCAGAAAGGAAAACACTCAATGGCAGAAGTGAGCTCCAGCACACCAGAAAAAATGTGAGACTTAGTACTCCAAACGTATGTTCAACCATTCTGGTTTTTGAAATGCATGCAACTATTTATTTTTCCTTTAACTTTGACAAGAAATTAAAAGTCTGAACACTTGGAAAACATGTTTGGTGGTATTCTAAATAAACTCAGATAACTTTATTAATCTACCAGTCCTGGAAACCATTATTCTCAGAGGCCTGCCCAGCTGAATTTACATGTTTGGTGTGTCCCTTTCTTCAGCCTTACAAGCCACCAAAAGGAGGATGTTATCTATCAGACACAGGCATCTGTGCACAGCTGGTCACCCAAGGCTCCCTTTGGAGTCCACAGAAAGAGACACAGTGCCATTCCTCTCTTTCCAACATAGACACCAAAACCACACTATATGAACTGCATCTCCAGAAGTTTATTTATGTTATCTAATAACTAATGTAGCTAATATAACATTTTTGCTTAATACACTACTCTCATGTCACAGTTTTCTTTTTCTACATTTAGCTATAAGTCCCCACATAAAGAGATTTCTGCTTTACCTCTGAATTATTTTATTGATGATAGTTTTCTTAAATACTTTAAATGCACTATTCACAATTTGTAATAACCATCTAATTATTATAGATAAACAAGTTTAAGGTATTCAACAGCTTCCAGTGAGTAATATTTTACATCTTACAAGACCTGTCATTCAGTATTGTTATCAGGAACAGCAAGCAGCAATTCTTACAGTCCTTGATAACCTGAGGCAATTTTTAAAGAAAAGCCTATCAAAACTTCACTTTTTTGAGCTGCGGAAGACAGTTTTTCTGTCAAAAGATGAAAGAATAGTAGTCATCTGATTTTTTTTTTTTGTTGTTCATTTGTTTCTTAAAAGGTATGTGAACTCAGTTTTACTGCAGGCCTCTTGCTAGAGTAGCTGTGCTTATGTTGTAGGGTTTGTTTTAAGCTGTTGCTGTTGTAACACAGAACTATCTTAGATCAAGAAAAAAGAAGTATTTATAGCCTTTATGATTGTGAAGGAAGAACAGAATGTCTAACAGTAGGGCCAATTAAAAAAAAAAAACCAAAAAGTAGTAATTCATTCTCACCCCCTCCTCCAAACTTAAGTATACAGACATACACCTTCAGTGCATTTTTTCCTGCCTCAAGCGATGGAGAGGGGCTGGCTCAGAAGTGTTAGACTCGCAGTATTGCAAACTGCTAATTCCATCTTCCTCGCTTTACTTATGGTGGTTTCTTCCAGATATACTTTCTAGTAAGCATGAGAGAAATATCAAAAGAGAAAAGAACAAAAACTCTGAAGGCTCGGCCCCATCAGGCAATTCTGACAGCACCAATTCTGGGATTGATGGGGGAAGCAATGAACCTTTTACCAAAGAATGGAGTTGTGGGTAGTTTCACTCCGTCTATGGCCCTGCTGAAATTAAGGCCCTTTGAAAACCTAGCTTAAGAATCTCTGTTTAAAAACAGTTTTTAAAAGTTAAAGGCTGTAAAAAGGTCTTCGAACCAATGGGAATGTAATTCCAGCTCCCCTTCACAAAGGGAGCCGAATGAAGCTGTGGCATTACCCAGGACACTGGCCAGGGACCCCCACTGGGGTATTCAAAGAGGCATCCTGATTGAAAGTAAGGGTGGACTGTTGCTCTCTGATCCTTCTGTTCCCTTTCTACTCTCTGAGATGTGTTTTTTTTAGTCCCTTTCCTCCTCAGTGCCTGCGCTCAGTGGAGAACTAGAATAGCCACCCCTTAATCCTCGCCCCCGCTTTTTTTTTTATTCTCAAAATTACTTTGCTTTCTGCAGTAACTGCACATGCGATATATATTTATATACATTTAAAGCTAACAAACCCCACTGAGTCTCACAAGCTTTTACAAGATGCTATAAAAGTATCACATGGCAAAGCAATGATGTGAAGTCAAAAGGTGAACACAGTCCTCTGAGACCACAGATATGTGTTCTGGGTCACAAGAGTGAAAAAATGTAGTTCAGATTTAAGTCATCTCCTTCAACTGTTTTCTGTTATGTCCCCATTGAGATCCCAACCAGTGTTTTTAAATTTTTTTTTTTTTTTTAATTAGGCCTAGATTCCCAAAACACACAAGCAATCATAGTGCATTGCAAAAGCATTAGTCATATGTTAGTCCTCATACAGACAGTTATTTAAATGCTTGGCTTCTTTGTTTTTAAAAACAAAAATAAGTCACATTTACTTAAATTTATCCTTTGGGATAAATCCATCCAGAAAGAAACTGTACCCAACAAGCAACCAGGGACTTCACGTACAGGTCTGCATGATCTAACCATGGCTTTGAGGAATGGCTATAACCAGATTAATCTTTAATTAATATAATGAGATAAAAATACAATTTGCCAAACATGTCAAAGTGAAGCTTACAGCTCTGAGTAGAGCCAGTCTATAAGAAAATTTATATTGATTTCCTCTGAACTATGTTATTTTGTTGTGACTGATTATGTGAAAAAAAACAAAACAAAACAAAACAACCTGTATTTTTCAAGATGGAGTACTCCTTACAATACTTACAAAGCCATTCCCATCTTCATCAAGGAACGGGTACGCCTGCAGCAGAGCACTGACAACAATGTTATATTGCTGACTGTTCGGATACCTGTGCAAACAAGATGGAGAAGTAAAAGAAATACTTGGTATTCTAGACAGTATTAGAAGCTATCTGGAGTCTATACTGATATACATTAAACTGACTATTTCCAAGACTATGGATTCCCCTCCAAATAAGAAAGACAACAGCTTTAAGGTTTGCATTAAGTCTTCCTGCTGGCTTCAACGGGTTTCAGGTCCTTAGTATCCTCTATTTAAGCAAGCATATTAAAGAGAATGGCTTCACATTAATTTGAAAATTTACTTCTGCAGCCAAGTACTAATGCCCTCAAATAAATCTAAATGTTTACTCACAGTGATCCTTCTAGGTATTTTGTCATGTCTGCTTGTAAAAATTCAATAATCCTTATTCTCATACTGTGATCAGGGCATTTTTTTTCTGCCAATATGCACTTGACATCGTAAGGGAAGTCTGGCAAAGCATAAGAACTTGTCCACTGCAATGTCTTGTATCTTGCAAAAAATGATTTCTGATTTCTTCTGTAAAAATGCAAGCAAAAAAGAAAGAAAAATACAAGCAAAAATTCAACACAAAGGAAAGTTATTTCTATAGAAATTCGAGGCTTGCTCTCTTGGTTTCTACATAAAGGATACCCACAAAAGCTGCAATAAAAACATATGGGGTTAAAACCAAATGTCAGTTGTGAAATATTTTAATCAGTGGATGCTAGAAGGTGGTCAGAAGGCAAAGTGGACAAAGTCACTGGGGACTTGCTACTGTTGCAAAATAACTTTCTCATCATTTATAATGTTTCCTACTAGTTCTGCTAACTTGTGAAAGTAAGCTGATCAGTTTAATTGAATAAAATACGATACACAACATTAGCTAGGACTGTCTTCCCAAAGGGGAAAGCAGCGAAGGGATGAAGACAGTTATCAGCACAATGGCTGGAAATAAAGCAGACACAGCCCGTCAATACCCACAGCTCCTGTCCCCAAAAGAGCATCAGCACTACATATAGATATCTATTACATGTACACCTGTAAAAAGCAATTTACAGATTATTATTTACAGGTGAGCCTGAGGCAGGATATCACCACTGGCTACCCAACTGTTTCTTCAGTGCACAGGGAAAATTAGAGATAAATTGAGCTGAAAGTCAATCAAGAGCCACCTAAAATGCAGAGTGGTTCTGGCAGCCCTAGACGGTTTCCCAATCATAGTAGTCAAGACTCAATAAAGAAATTTCAAATGGAAGGTACCAAAGACATCTAAAGAGTCCTGTTATGTATGTGGTATCGTTGCAATTTACATGTGCCTTAATTTAAATTGCTCTCTGCAATTTGAAAACAATTATCAGACTTCTAAAGGAATTTTTAAAATAAAATGCTATCATTATAGATGACAAATGTAGATGTTTACATGGTATAAATATACAGATATCTATACCTGAATTAATTATCTACATTCCCTTTATATTCACCGAGGACACATAAGCACCACTGAAGGATGACAGAACAACCAGAAGATCTCTAAATCAGACCAGATGTTCTCTCTCATTTGTTTCTCTCCACTAATTATGAAGGAAATTAAGATAGTTACCATGGTTGTTGAAACCTATACTGTATGTCTCAAGTTAGGAACCCCCCACTTGGTAGGTGGGAGCTTCCACACAAAGACATGTAGCTAGACTAGGCATGCTCTGCTGTCCCTTCCAAGCTGCACTAGCTTTTGAGGCTATGAAAGTTATGGAGGAAAATGCTGCGAGACTTCAGTCCCGTCAAAAATCACAAGTTTTCACTCCTAAAGGTCTCTACCGTAGCCTGTAAACAAGCGCTAGGTATTTAAAAAGAGTTGTGAAGTTTTAGCAAGGTCTTCACTGGAAGGTTTTGCTATCCAGTCTCTTTTAGATAAGGATGTAAAAAAAAACCCCATGGTAACCAATATCTTTAGGCTGGCAAAATCAACTGCAATACCAACAGATGAACATTTGCAATAACTTAATTTATACCACTTTGAAAGATTACTATATATTTAGGAGGCATATTGTTTTGGCCCCCTATAGCATGAGTTACAGCCTCAATACTTTCTTGAGTAGGCTAGCTTATAATTCTCATAACCTTGTTGACCTAGTTATGCTGCCATACCATCTTTTAATGTAATTTGGTAGCTTGCAGGCTAGTAAAAGCTCTACAGCCATGATACCACTTTACAAACCCCAACACTACTGCAAATTTCAATGCAGTGCTGAAAAAAAAAAAAAAAAGAAAAAAAAGAAATAAAGATTAGGCTACTGTCATCCGATCCTTGTAGATATACTATCAGTGCTGACAGCACTGCTATTTCCCCATGTGAAACAGGTAAAAAAAGGCTAGAGCTGCTGTCTCTCCAAGCTCACCAGATTTTATGGAACACAGATGGTTAACAGTAGACGCAAACTGTAGTGAACATCTCAGTACTTTGTCACTTCTCACACAGCTTTTCCTATCCACACAGACACATTCATGTCCTTTTTTGGTGATAAATTAATATACAAATGGGAAAATAAATCCCAGTCCAGATTCTGAAATCATATGGAAATCCATCCTATGCAAAAAATGTGCAGATGTTCAATATAGCGTCAATGAGGAAGCTGTAAGTTTGAATCCTGTGCTTTCACCAATTTTACTGATGAATGTATGTAGCAGACAGGCTGTACATCACTGCATACTATTTTCAATATGTTATCATTTAAACTAGCTCAAAAATGTACAAAAGTTTAAAATGTGCAGTAATTTGTAGATGAACAGCACTGATATTCCTATTGTTGCTAATACCAGTTATGTTAAATTGCCATTTTGAAAAGTGGAATGGTTTAGTAGGTTCAGTTCAGACAAACCAAACTGTACTCATTTCCTTGAAGAAAAAATTTTCTTGGAGTTGGGATGGCTAATAGCAATGGAGGCATGGTAAATTCCCTCCACCAGTCCCTTCATATTTGCCAGCACAACAAAAATATGCTAAATTCCATTTCTCTTCAGCCTTACCCGACACAGAAAATACTTCCTTGCTGTCCAAACAAGGTCCAAAAATCCCTTTAGTCTCCACAGTGCAATAAATTAAATATTTTACTAGCTTTTGCTGAAATCATTGCTGTTAGGAAGTCATGTTAAATATGTGCAGTAATATTTTACAATGAAATACAGATTTGTTTGAAAGAAACACAACTCCACACTAAACTTTATCCCCAGAAAGACTTAAATGCAAACTTGTTTAATTAAAAGAACAGTTCAGTTAAACTGTATGTGCACCGGGATTTATGCGTATGGCCAAGACCTTCCTTGACTGTAGAGAACAGCATTACAGTTAGAGATTTAGGTACAAACAAATCATGGACTGTTTCTAACTGTCCCTCCCTGGTCTTCTAGCCAACCTGAGACACAGAGTTGAGATCAAGATCCCAAAGTACAAATTCCTATGCATTTTATTTTCTCTCAGTTCTTAGGACATTTGATGCTGAAACTAGATCAATCTGATGGCTAGATGCTGCCAAATGTCAGGCCCCCTCTCTCCCCACTGTCACATGTCTACTTCTTTCATACTGGCATTGGGAAGCCTCATGCTGCAGCAAGTTACTGCAAGGAGCTACACCGATTAAATTCTTATTTTTTCCTCTTAGTTTAGTTTTCTCACTGTTCAGGTCCCCAAAATATCTCCCCATGACATGAAATAAATAGCAGTGCAGATGAAGCAAGCTGGTCTCTTTATGTTTAGCTGCAATATGGAACTGCACCCTAAGAAGCATATCTTCATCAAGGACACAACTAATCACAGCACTTTTGACCACTTAGATTTTGTAGATGATCACTTAATTTACTAAGTCACAGCACTGTTTCACACAGCTATTTCTTTATTTGGCTCCACTACAGCCTCACACTGCTCATGCACAGCATGTTTACTGAGCCACAAAACTATAAAATAATATCATTTTGAGAGAAGATGTTTGTCTCCTCCAGCTGGAAAACAAAACAAAACAAAACCCCAAAGATAAAACAAAAACCCCAACCCCCCAAAAAACACCTATTTGAAATATATAACCCCTAGGCTCCCTAATCCTAGGGAATATATTGTTTTACTTTGCCAAAAAGGCAGATTTTACACACTTGCAGCATCACCCAGATCATTTAATGAAGGCTTTAGACTGCACTGGAGTGAAGAATAGTGAGTGAACACAGTATCATAGTCTCCAAGCTCAGTGGTCTCTGTGCAACCTCAGGCAGAGAAACAGAGCTCATTGAATTAGCTGTAACAAGTCACTAAAAATAATCTCATCATCGGTATAGACAGCTCAATCAAGATAGTTGTGCAAAGTTCAGTAGATACCTAGAAACGGGTTCAAATACTAGATCATGTGATTTTTGTCATTTTTTAAAGCTTCTGAGCATAGGGGTAAGAAGGATCAGTTTTCTGCATCTTATTTAGTTCATTTAGGAAAAAAAAAAGTGACTTAAAGGCCAAGTGAGCACATCCATAAACAGGCTGTGTGTCACATGCTTTTCTTACAGTCTGCCTTACTAAAGCCCACGAGCCTATGGTACCCATTGCTACACCTTGTATCAGCTCAGGTCCTGGTAACTCAGAGGGCATCGCAGCTGAGCATAAGCTTGCTGACATCACTGGGTTTCCATGCTCAGTATGCCCAGATAGAACTCAGCACATGGATGGAGCCTCAATAGATTCCCATTTTTGACAGGTGAAGGTCTAGCCTTTCATTTGTCTATGCCAAATATCAGCAAGAGGCTCCTGTCTGAAGATTTGTAGGTTGGTAAAAAGTCCACAACTATAAAGCCAAGGAAGAAACGGAAGAGAAAAGAAAACGTGGAACTTGCAGATGTGAAGGAAGGAAAAGTCTACAGCTGTAGAAAATGTCACTTTTTCCCAGTACACATGTAATAGGCTTTCAACTGTATGACAATATTTAAGGTTGCAAATGTTGTTTCCACCAAAAGGAAGAGGTTATGACAGATGATTAAACATTAAAAGGAACTCTTTTTCCCCCCTCTCAATAGTAACATAAACTAGGGCGTTCTCTTCTATTCACAGTTCCTAGATCTGCACCTGAAAGTTCCTCACGCCTTCCTCTTCATGTTCTTCACTGCCACTTCCTACTTTCCAGCACAAATGCAGTTTCCCAGTTATTCCCTAGAGCCCGGGATTTGCAGTCTACCTAGTGCTTGACGATGTCTTTTACTTTTTCAGTTCCCACTAAGCGTAGGGGTAGGTTACAGACTGAAGGAGCAGTTACCTGCAGCAGCACTGGCTTCAGCAGGGCTGGGCCGTGGCAGCCGGCAGGCGCTGTGGCTGCCCCTTCCCCAGAGCAGCTCCCGCTTCAGCTCTTCCTGCAGCATCCTCGCTACAGAAATCATCGCATCCAGTACAAGCACGAAGTTACAGACAAAACGAATCAGCTTTAAAAGAAGTTCGTGAGATGCAGACATAACCTCCTTCTAGAGGGAGTCAACATTTTTTGACAGTTTCCATTCTGAGGAGCTGCATCACG